TGCTGCCCTGAACCCCACAGAGGCCTCCCTGCCTCTGCCTCTGCCTCTGCTTCCCAAGTGCTGGGATTAAAGGAGTGTGCCACCAATGCCCAGCTCATGGTTCTTCTTAGCCAGGCTCCATGGCACAGGTGGTTGCCCGCATGTCACTCAGGTGTTACCTTGGCTGGCTTGTATTACAGCTCAGTCCTCTAAAATGTGCTAACTTGCAACCTTCAGATGGTAGGAGAAAAGACTGTGACCTTTACCATTGACTAGTTGCATAAAATTTGGCAGCATGGATATAATTTAAATTTAATTTAACTATAATTTAAACTTGGAGTGACAGTGATGAAAATGATAACCTGATTCCATATCTGAAAATAACGCATCCATGTGGATGCCTGAGTTACAGAATGTTCCAGCAGTACTTCTTTCTGTAGTCACCTTACACTTGTTCTTGAATAGCTGAGTGTGGTGGGCCAAACCTCTAATCCCAGCATTTGTGAGAGTGAGGCAGGGAGATTGCTCAGAGCTCAAGGCTGGTCCAGACTCTGTAGTGAGTTCCAGGACAGCTTAGGTTATAGACTGAGATCTTCCTCAACTCCATCTACCCAAAAAACAAGAGTAAGTAAAAGAAAAATAATTTTGAAATAAGTTCTTTGCTCTTTACTTATATTAACCCCTGAAATGGGAAAATCGGGAGGTTTCCTTGGTAACTGAACCATTTCTTTTGACTTAGGGTCTTATATCTCAGATGGCCTCTCCTTGTGTCTTTCTCACAAAAGCAAAAATGTTTGCTCATCCAGTATCAACTGGGCTTCATCTAAAGTCATGGGGAGTACAGGTGTGAGCCCCTGGCCAAGGCAAGGCTGCCCCTTCATATAGTACCTATAGTCACTACTGTGAGGAGAGGTGTCTGCAGGAAATGATGCTGTAGCTAAGGAGTGGGGTGGCTATTTCTGGGTTTCAGATTAAAAACCATGTCATGGAACAGTCCTCACTGAGCTGGGTCATAGAGGACAATTCTGAAAAGTCTAGAAAGGGGCTTTCTGCACGAGGAATGAGAAACCAGACCTCAGTGTGTCAAGAAAGCTATAAGCCATCGAGTGGCATCCCTTGCCTGAGCTCACTGTGAAAATCACCAGGCCAGAAAAACGGGGTCTGTAAATGGAGTTCTTAACTGGTCTAGATAATAAAAAGCTGCAATCAGATATAGAGGGAAATGCTGAGAAATCATAGAGAAGGAATTAGCCACAGCACACCTTACCTCCTAAGCATCTTTGCAGAGAAGAGGGTGATTTCCTGTTTCTCCCTGCTTATATCCTGTTTCTGCCTAGCTGTGTCACTTCCTGTCTATTTGTACAGACCTCCAGACCTCTATGGTTAGTTAGTGGCAAGCTCCATTCTCTGACCCCAAGACAGGCTTTATTTGTGCAAGAAAGATACCATACCACCACAGAGGTCTAGATGTTTCCTTGACTCACTGGGGGGACACCATAGGAGTAATTTCCATGCATGTAACAATGATACATTCAGACATAAATATCTAGAAGGCAGATAGAAATACCTAACTCACAAACTGAAAACAAAGACCTCCCCATCATTAACTTTCTGTCTTTCAGGATGGATATCTACCATGCCTCCCAAGGAAAAGAAGAAAGGTAATTATCTCAATACCTCCTGCCATGATATCTGAGGCTTTTGTTTACAAATTGTTTGTTTTCCATCCTTGCGGCCTTCTACGTTTAAAAAATAACCAATTTGGATTTGACCAAATTTGAATTTATTCTATGGGACTCATGTAGTTGTGGTTTTACCCAGTGTAAAAGGTAAAGGCAGCTTTGAGAATCAAAATATTTGAGATAGAGATGGGAACAACTCGGGAACTATCACATGAGTGATCTCTTCTGTCTTTCAGAAGGAAAACCCAAAGTCTGAGGAGCAGTGCAGTCAGGATCTGTCTCAGGTTCAGTGGATCACCCCTTTGGTCTGAACATTAGTAGATTTTTTTTCAAGACAGAGTTTCTCTATGTAGCCCTGGTTGTTCTGGAACTTGCTCTGTAGACCTTGAACTCAGAGATCCGCCTGCCTCTACCTCCTGAGTTCTGGGATTAAAGGCATGCCCATCACTACCCAACATACTAGAAAATTCTTGGTCAAACAAAATGTTAAACCAAACAAATTCTTAACACAAACTCTCCAGGAAATCTGGGACACCATGAAAAGCCCAAACCTAAGAATAATGGGAATAGAAGAAGTCTGTTTCAAAGGGATAGAAAATATATTCAACAAAATCATAGAAGAAAACTTTCCTAACCTAAAGAAGGACATACCTATGAAAGTACAAGAAGCTTAGAGAACACCAAATAGACTGGACTAAAAAAAGTCCGTTTGCCACATAATAGTTAAAACAGTAAACATATAGTATAAAAAAGAATATTAAGAGCTGCAAAGGAAAAAGGCCAAGTGACATATAAAGTCATCTATAAGAATTACACCTGACTTCTCAATGGAAACAATGAAAGCTAGAAGGTCATGGACAGGCATTATGCAGACATTAAGAGACCACAGATGCTGGCCCAGACAACTATACCCCACAAAGCTTTCAATCGCCATAGATGGAGAAAACAAGAGAGTCCACAACAAAACCAGATTTAAATAATACCTATGCACAGATCCAGTCCTACAGAAAGTACTAGAAGGAAAACTCCAACTCAAGGAAGTTAGCTATACCCACAAAAACACAGGCAATAGAAAATCCCACACCAGCAAATCCCAAAGAAGGAAAATGCACATACAACATCACAAAAAATAACAGGATCTAGCAATCATTGGTCATTGATATCCCTTAATATCAATGGATTCAATTATCCTATAAAAAGACACAAGCTAGCAGAATGGATATGAAGACAGAATCCATCCTTCTGCTGCATGCAAGAAACACACCTCATTTTCAAAGACAGACATTATCTCAGAGTAAAGGGTTGGGAAATGACCAGCAGGTCCAGTTATTCCAGGGTCTGAAGAGGTACTGCCTGAAATCATGGGCGAGAGAAAGAAAGGAGACCACGCAAGATTCTGTTGTCAAGGTCTCACTTTATTGAGGGAATAATAAGGCTTATATAGGGATGTGGCAAGGAGGGAGTGTAGAGGGAGGGAGGGAGGAGGGAGAAGGGAGCAAGGCCGCTGGCGGTGGGGCTCCCGGGATGGACCGAAGGGCCATGGACCGAAGGGCCGCATGGAGGAGGAACTGAGGAGGGAGCAGGGAGTTAGTGCACCTGGTGTTTTGCATGAGGCTATCTAAAAAATGCCTGTTGCCTGAAACCCTCCTATGTTTCTTGTCCTCGGAGCTGCTTATCTCTTCCAACTGCTAGTGGTGGCAGTTGCCAGGTGGCAAGTCCTTCAAGGACCTGTAGTTTTCCACTGTTCTGAATGGCCCCTTAACTTATGGCTCCCAACAGGGAAAAGATTTTGCAATAAAATGGGACCTAAGAAACAAGCTGGTGTAGCTTTCCTAATATCTAACAACAACAAAAAAAAGACTTCAATCAAAAGAGATGAAGAAAGACATTTCATATTCATCACAGGAAAAATCCATCAAGATGAAGTCTCAATTCTGAACATCTGTGCCCCAAATACAAGGGCAGCCACATTTGTAAAAGAAACATGACTAAAGCTTAAATTATACATCAAACCCTACACACTAATAGTGGGAGACTTTAGCACCCCACTCTTACCACTGGACAGGTCTACCAGACAGAAACTTAACAGAGAAGTAAAGGAACTAACAGATGTTATGACTCAAATGGCCCTAATAGACATCTATATAACATTTCAAACAAACACAAAAGAATATATCTTCTTCTCAGCACCCCACAGATCTGACCACATACTCAGGAACAAAGCAAATCTTAATGGATACAAAAAATTAGAATAACCCACTGTATTTTATCAGATCACTGTGGCTTAAAGTTAGAATTCAACAGCAACACTAATTGCAGAAAGCCTGGAAACTCATGGAAATTCAGCAATGCTCAACTGAATAACCACTGGGTCAAGGAAGAAATAAAGAAATTAAAGACTTCCTAAAATTCAACGAAAATGACCACACAACCTGCATAATCTAATCTTATGGGACACAATGAAAGTATTGCTAAGAGAGAGGTCATAGCACTAAATGCCTCCCTAAAGAAGCTGGAGAAAAACCACACTAGCAAATTACCAGAACAAGTGAAAGGTCTAACACAAAAAGAAGCAAACTTATCCAGGAGAACTAGTTGGCTGGAAATAATCAAACTGAGGGCTGAAATCTAGAAAATAGAAACATAGAAAACAATACAAAGAATCAATGAAACAAAGAGTTGGTTTTTCAAGAAAATCAACAAGATAGACAAACCTTTATCCAAACTAACCAAAAAACAGAGAAAGAATATCCAAATTAACAAAATCAGAAATGAAAAGGGAGACATAACAACAGACACTGAAGAAATCCAAAAAAATCATCAGTTCAAAAACCTTACTACACAAAATTGGAAAACTTAAAGGAAATGGACAATTTTCTGGATAAGTACCACAGACCAAAATTAAATCAAGACCAGATAAACAAATTAAGCAGACCTATATCCCCCAAGGAAATAGACAGTCATCAAAAATACTTGAAGTTCTAGCTAGAGCATTAGGACAACAAAAGGAGATCAAGAAGATACAAGTTGGAAAAGATGTCAAATTTTAGCTATTTGCTGATGATATGGTAGTCTACATAAGTGACCCAAAATATTCTGCTGGGGAACTCCAACAACTGTTAAATACCTCCAGTAGTATGGCAGAATACCCGATTAACTGAAAAAAGTCAATAGCCCTCCTATACATAGATGATAGACATGTGATTATGAAGAGTAAAAATTACTACCTGTCCATAAGAACATGGGCTTGTCACCTTGGGGGCTCCCTCCCCTGCAGGTGGCCGCTCCCAAAACTCTCAAAAAAAAAAAAAAAAAAAAAAAAAAAAAACCCCCAGGAAAAAACACAGGGTGTC